TGGAACCTTGGTTTTCGTCATTAATTTGTTCCAGAAAGTCTGATGAAAACCAAATTTGACGAAAACTGAAGCAATATTTCCCATAAGAAATAATGTAAATCCAATTAATCCATTCCACACACCCAAAAGTATTAACAAAAAATACATTTTATAGAGAATAACTATAGTTTTACATACAGAAAAAATGAGAAATAAATATCAAGGACTAATGAAATGGATAAATGAACATTTAATATCACTTTTACCTTTATTGAAGACTCTTGTTGGTATATGGAAGACACGAGGAGGGGAGAGGGAGAGGAGAGGTTATTGGTTGGAGGGGGAATCCCCCTCCATAAGGACTTCAGGTATCAAGTCCCTATCTGGGGTTACTTCCCTTCTTCGCCTTTTACTGGCACTGGACCCCCTGTCGCATAAAAAAATCTGTCCAGAGAGGTCTGTTTCTGGCGACTCTTTAGGATTTGCCTAAAATGGAACAAGGCATTGTCACTGAATGTGTTGCAAACATGGCTTACAACAATTTTGTTAGGGTGATATTTCTCCACAAAACTTTGCAACTCACTCCACTTTGCACACGTCCTTAATCACTGAAGAAGGCACATTCTCCCTTCTCTCTTCCTCCTCCTCTGAAGCAATTTCCTCAGCTGCGATCTGTTGTTGTTCCAGCTGAAGGTGTTGCAGCTCTTCAGTGGTTAGCTCTTCCCTGTGGTCGTCCACCAACTCTTCCACATCCTGGCCACTCACATCCAACCCCATGGACTTCCCCTAACCCACAATAGATTCCACAACAGGTGTAGGGTTGTCAGGGTCAGCCTCAAATCCTTCAAAATCCTTCTCTTGGACACATTCTGGCCACAACTGAATTCTATTGTGATTCTCGCCTTCTTTATCAAAGGACTGGCACTGGGAACTTTCTTTGGCCCCATGGTGGCTTATTTAGCAGTCACACTCAATAAACAAGCACAAAAAACAATGGATTATTAACCCTTTGACTGTTGCAGGCCCCTTTCTAAAACTGTCATTCTATTTCGCAAAATATTAAAAAAAAAAATTTTTTTTTCTTCTTACCAAAATGTTAGGATTATTTTACTAAGTGTTTTAAGCCTAAAAAATTTTTTTTGCCATCAGTACTTACTGAGATACAGAGGTGCAAAGTTGGCAGAAAAAGAGCGGTGTATGGCAACAGCGGCGAATGCTGCCCACCCGGTATTCTTTTATTTACTCCAATTCGAAGGTTTCTTGTATTTTCCAATATTATTCTTTTCTAAGTAACTTATGTGGCCTGTGAGACCAAAGTAAGGTGCATTGTTCAAATATACATTCATTGTTTACAACACAATAACTGAACAAACATTATCACTATTAGTTTGTGTATAAAACTTTTTTACACAAACAATACAAAACATTGCTTATTACTATTGTTCCATAATATATATATACATATGCACAGTCGCTGAACACTTTCCTAGAACTGCTGCAGCTTGTGGAACTCTTTGAAACGGGTATATGCAGAGTGGCACTTGACACTCCTCACACATAAAATGAGTGTCCCAGTGTGTTTGTGGGCGTTTTGTGGTACGTCCACATACAAAACACCTCTTCTGAGCATTTTTCTTGAAAGCAGTAGGAAGCAGTTGTATGGGGTAGTGATCACCAGGCCTCAAACGAGATGGCGTGTGTTGGTAATTTCGTGGGCGCTGGTCTATTGCAGGTGTTGCTCCTTGGTACTTGGTGATTATTTGTCTGATGACTGACGAACAAAATTCACCATATTTTGGTTTGTTGTTGGTCCTCAACTTGTATATGTTATAAGCATTTAGCATGGAAATATCAACAAGATGGAAAAAAAGTTTTATATACCACTTATAACTCTTGTGTACACAATCAGCCAACCCAATCTACAGGTCACATTTGTCCACTAAGTGCATATTGAGGTTGTAGTCCATGACAGCTGCAGGTTTTAGAATGGGTTCATTGGTCTCTCTATTGTGCCTGCCAATATGTGCCATTTCATTTCAGTGAACTGATGTCAACAATGTAACATCACGTTTGTCATGCCACCGAAATGCCATGATGTCATTGGCAGCAAAGGCTTGCACCTCACCTCTGTGAGTGCCAGCGTCGAACCTTGGCATATGTTTACGATTACCACACATTGTGCCACACACGTCTGTCAGGTTCACTCGCAAGAAATCACTGAGTATGGGGCTTGTGTACCAGTTATCAGTAAATAATATATGCCCCTTACCAAGATATGATTCCATCATTGTTTGAACCACCTCACCAGAGATACCCAATAACTTCCTGGTATCTCTCAATGTATTACTGCCAGTGTACACAATGATATCCAAAACGAGACCACTTTTGCAATCACACAGTACAAATAACTTTATACCAAAGTGTTTCCTCTTGCTTGGTATGTATTGCTTGAATGAGAGTCTTCCTTTAAATAAAATCAAAGACTCATCAATAACAAGCTTTCTGAAGGGATAAAAATATATGCAACACTTTTGTTTCAGGTACATAAACACATTTCTGATCTTATATAACTGTCGCTTCTGTCAGGCCTTGTTTTGTCTTAAAAGTGTAACATACGTAACAGTATCAAGAAACGATTCACATCTATGATGTCACTAAAACCTGGGGTTGAAATCACGCGTTCTGTTGCCCAGTATGTGGTGACAGTGTGCTTATACACATGTGGCATAAGCATTATTGTGGCAAAAAACAGGTACATCTATGCCACAGTTGTGTCCTTCCACTGGTGTAGCCATGGTCTTGGTGAGAGAATTGTATTTGCCATGGTGTACTCATAGTATGTGTTGGTTTCCCTGACAATAATGTCCATCAGGGGTTCATCGAAGAATAACTGAAAGCATTCCAGTTCAATAGCATTGTTCCCAAGTGTACACAATGGCCGTATTCCACTTTGTGTTTCATCAAAGTCATGGGGACTGGGAACCAACTCGTCACCTTGCTGCCAATCCCAGATGCAGTCTGCTGGTGGGTTCCGGATATTGAAACATGGTTGTGCAGGTTGTGGTTGTGCAGGTTGTGGTTGTGCAGGTTGTGGTTGTGCAGGTTGTGGTTGTGCAGGTTGTGGTTGTGCAGATTGTGGTTGTGCAGATTGTGGTTGTGCAGGTTGTGGTTGTGCAGATTGTGGTTGTGCAGGTTGTGGTTGTGCAGATTGTGGTTGTGCAGGTTGTGGGAGTGTGGGGTTGGGTGAGGCTGGTTGTGCAGAGTAAGCAGCATGGGTAGTAGCGTGGCCCACTGCTGGTGCCACATGACTGATGCCACCATCACTATCACCACCACCACCTGCTGCCTCACTCACATCATTCATACCCATCGTAACAATATCGTCATCTTCACTATCAGGTCGTGGTGTAGGGCCACGGGATGTACTCTGAGATTTACTCCTTCCCTTTGGAACAGCATATGAAACACTACCAGACTGCATGCTACGTTGTATATACTGCCGCTTCATTGGGGAATATTCACTCTCACTGTCACAACTAGAACTGCTTTCAATAACTTTGAAATCAGTTTGTAGATGAATGGTTCACAGAACCGACATGTTGATAAATTAGACTGACCACATCGACTCAAGGTTGAGGGACTGATTACCTCATTCTCCTCCTGTTCTTCAAGATTCTCCTTTGTATGGACTGATGAAGCCACTGTGTGGCGAAACGTTTCCTCAATAAAGATACCCAAGAGTTGCACATGTGTCTAATTTATCAACTTTGAAATCATTATCACTTTCACTGCTCACATCCGAGTCTTGTACACGGGCAAATAATTTCCTCTTTCGTCCTGGTACAGGTAAACGTGAACGTGAACGAGCCGGCCCAGCACCAGAGGTGGAAGGTCGTGGGTCATCTGGATTTTCATCACCAATTACGTTATCCTGGGCACTTTTTTCAGTCACACCCGCTTGAAAACCATGGAATTCACTTTCACTGACACTTTCATCGCTGTTAGAGCTATCACTTGGGAAAAAAAAGACCTCCAATCCGCCAAGGAGTGAGGTACTTCTTACTGCGAGGCATGGTGAAAATGGACTACCAAGATGGCGTTCCCACAATGCACCACTGAGTCCCAGATTTTTTTCACAGGGTGCACACCCACCACTCAGACCCATTCTCTCATGTAGGCCTACCAGCTTTCTCCCGCTCGATTTGAAGCTGCTAGAATTTACGCGTATAAATACGTCAGAAACAGTGGCACGTAAGACGCATATATACGACGTAAACAGTCAAAGGGTTAAGAAATGTTTCAGACGAATGTGCAGGGTAATACTCACTCGACGAGAAACAAAGCCAGACTGACTCAGAACGCGTGGGATGCTTTGTGTGGGCATGGGCAGGTGGACACGTTCGGTATGGTGGACCGACGAAAACTGAGGTGATGAATGAAAATCGAGACAAAATTTTGACGAAAAAAGTCGTCAAGAACTGAATTTGACGAAAACCAGGGCAAACGAAAACCAAGGTTCCACTGTTTTACTATTTTTATATGGTGCGTGGTGTTAGAGTTCTCTAGTTTCGCTAAGTGTTGAAGCTGGAGATTTGGTTACGTTGTACTGCCCTTGGCCCCTAGGGGTTCGTAAATTTAAAAGCTATTGGTATGTTGTTTTGGGGTGAATACTACCTTTGAGAACTGATTTGATGTAATTCAGTGACAGAATGCAGAAGTGGCTTCTAAGATGTCTGGCTAAATACTGCAATGGCTAGTTCTACAATGTCTGGCTAAATACTTAAAATGCTAAACCCAAAGGGAGTGGAGGGTTTTAAACTGCCTGGGAAATGAAAAATAATTTGATTTAGGTAAAAAAAAAAAAAAATAAAGGATGGGCAGCTTCAATGTCTTCTTGCTCAAAAGTCCTTTACTTAACATCATTGCAACTTCCTGAAGGCTTCAGGCAGAGGGTATTTTACCCTCATCACCACTGCCAACCCACTCACCATTATATTTTATCTGAATGCACTTTAACTTACCCTTATGAGAACTTCATCTTCAGTATCTGAAGATTGTTTCTCCTCTTCCTCTTGCTGTTGCTGCTGCTGCTGCTGCTGCTGCTGTTGCTGTAGTAACAGAAGACGTTCACGCTCTCTCTGTCTCAGCTCCCGTCGGGCTTCCCTTTCACGCCTCCGTTTCTCTTTCCTTTCTCGTCTTTCTTGCTTCTCCTTTTCTTTAGCTGCAGCAGCAACCTCTGGATCTATCATAGTTTCACCGATGCTTGGCATTTGCTGTTTGGATTCATACATAGCAATGAAACAATGATAAATGTTACACATTTATTAATCAATTAACAAAATGAATGATTCATTCGGGCTATACGATTATTATTTTTTCCATTAACAATACAAATACAATTTCCAAGAATATAATTAGGAAAACAAATACAGACAAACCTGCTGTAAGAGAGAGATTATTCGTGCGACTGGCAGTCCTGCAGCGTGGGCAGAAGACGACAGAGAAAGTATGGATGACGTTGCACCAGCAAGAGTATTTGAGAGCTCTGTGGTGGGTGAAGTTAATGAGGCAACAGAAGCCACTTGAGTTGCAACTGGTGAACTTATAGAGGCAGGGACAGGCACTGGAACTGCTGAAGATAGAGAAGACAGGACGGAGGACCTAGCAATGGGGGACATTTCACTGGGTGATGCCAACAAAGAGGTAGGAGAAGGAGCAACTGGAGCCTGTACTGGAGCTGGCGATGAGCCAGGCATCCCTACTACACCTCCTGCAACTACTTGCATTACACTGCTCATTCCCACCACTCCACTATTAGACACCGGGATACCTGGTACCACTTCTGCCCCAAGCATTGGCATATTCTCTGCTGGCACCACCTGAAATACACAACTAAAATTCTAGAAAATTTGTAAGTAGTCAAAGTATGATTGCATGTTATCCATGCCACAGAATAACATTAGTAGTATGCCCCAGAATAATACCAGTGGTATACCCCAGAATAACATCAATGGTATGCCCCAGAATAACATCAGTGGTATACCCCAGAATAATACCAGTGGTATGCCCCAGAATAACATCAGTGGTATGCCCCAGAATAACATCAGTGGCATACCCCAGAATAATATCAGAGGCATGCCAAAGAATAACATAAGGGACATTCCACAAAATAACATCAGTGGCATGTCAAAAAATAATTTAATGTTATTTTTTGACATGCCACTGAACATGCTACATGAACCAGAACAACATCAGTAATATGGCCAGAAAAATAAGAAATATAAGAATAGCCTTCAGAAACATGAGCAAAAACTTACAAGTTGTCCTCATTGCATATAAAAGATCAAGTCCTGCATATTAAGTACCAGTGTGGTATCTGCACTTAACCAATCACACAACAAATCAAGAGAAAGTTTAATGCTCACAGATTAGTCACAAGACTTGTATGGGAGCTAAAAAGGTTATAGTACTAAAGTGAGGAATGACTTTTTGAACTTGACCTTATAACTCTGAAGGAATGTAAATCCAGAGGATATCTAATGATTATCGAGTATATACAAAATACTTAGTCATAATCAGACATAAATGTTATCACACGTGGAATGATCCCTTCTGTGATCAGCTTGAGAGGTTGTTGTTCTGTAAGAACAACAACCTCTCAACCTTCTGTAAGAAACTGTATTTGCTGAGTAAGGATAGTGTAAAGAATGGAATGAACTAAGGAACAATACTATAAGAGGATATCATATGTGGATTCAAAAATAAACATGACAAACTAATATCAACAATTATGCTAGATAACAGAGTCTGGAGGTAGAGCTCGTCCCCTACATTCATTCATTGTGAGTAAATAAAGCTCAATAATTACACTTACAAATCCTTCCCTAGTATATATGAATCACTCAGATATGATGATGTTTTCTATTTATTGTAGCTTAAATTTTACTTATAGCTGATAATGAAGATCTCACCTGAATAACATTACCCGTCTGCACAATCATGGGTGAATGTGTCACTGGAGCTGAAGGATCCTGTGGGAGCACTTGCAGCATGTTGCCCACCTGGATGACTCTTGATGCTCCCTCACTACTCCCACCCTCACTCCCCACACTGCCTCCCTCACCACCATCATAGGCATAGTGGAACTGGTGCACCTGACAGACAGTGGTCATAAAAATATTGTGGAGCAGACAATGGCAATAAAAGTGTTATGGGGCTGACAGTGGTAATGAAATTATGATGGTAAACTTACGATAAATATGAAACTATTCACTGTTACTTTGATGTTAGTACTTGAGCATCTTTCTCAGAAAGGGACATGGGAAACAAAGGACTAAGAACTATTAAGAAATATGTATACAGGAAAGTAAAGATAAGGGTATACTGAATGTAAGTACGGTAAATTTCAAAATAACAAGATCCTGATATAATAAGCTTCTGAAATATTGAACAAAATCAGCTGGATAAATTGTACTTTTAATTCCTAAATTTTCAGTGTTTATTGCAATATACTGTATCTATAAATTGTATGTACAATAGTATATTCGGTATACTGTAGAGCACTGTGAATTTAAAATCCATGAATAACACAAAATTATGTCAGCATAATAAATAATGTTCTGTGTTTGGGCTCATTTTAGGTTTCAGAGGACATAATATCTCTGTAAATATTGCTATTCTGGTTAACATTTGCATTCAGAGATGGAGTGAATGATAATCAAAATGGAAAAACTAAGCCCATTATGAATGCAACACTAATGTTAATTTTTCAATTAAGGGGCTGTGTCCAGATCCCTAAAACAATGGGCACTGCCAAAGAAAACTTGAATGAGCTAATTCATTTGCTAGTTACCTATCAGAAAAAAATGCTGGATAATCTAATCCTTGAATCAGGAAGCCTGTGAAATCAAGGATTTGACTATATGTACTATACATGTAGAAAAGAAAAAATCATGTACCTGGACAGGACGTGCTTGGTAGCCCCAGTTATATACGTGTGGCTGTGGATGTTGTTGTTGTATCTGCTTCTGCCGTTCCTCTTCAACATCCACTCCATGTTCCTGTTGAAGTCGCTCGTCAAGTGAGAGTCGTCTGGGTGAATCTCTGGGAGAGGAAGATGAATCTCTAGTGGCACGGCCATACTGCTCTCTTCTGGTAAGCTCGGAATCACTAATCGTTGAGTCAGCATCAATTTTAATTGTACCTTCACTACGATTTGAACTTTTGCTGTGCTGTTTGTAGTACGGTTCTATTGGAGCTTTGCTTCTTGGACTATGAGCACGTTCAGACCAGCGCTCATGGTCCTTATGCTCTGGCTCTTGTTCAGACTCTCTTTCTCGTTCCCAGTCCCAGTTATTCCAACCCCTTTCGTGACGTTCATAATCAAAGTCATCATTAGCAGGTGAAAGAGATCTTCGAGGAGATCTGCGTGGTGATCGCCGAGGGGACCTTCGTGGAGATCTTCTTGGTGATCTTCGGGGAGATCTACGTGGGGGTGATCTACGTAGAGGTGACCTTCGAATAGGGGATCTTCTCAAAGGAGACCTTCTTATGGGAGATCTCCTCAATGGTGATCTCCTAATGGGAGACCTTCTTAATGGAGATCTCCTTATTGGAGATCTCCTTGTAGGAGACCTTCTTAGGGGAGATCTTCTCAGTGGTGATCTGCGTATTGGAGACCTGCTTGAGGGAGATCTACGAAGGGGTGACCTACTCGATGGAGATCTTCGAATAGGTGACCTATGAGGTGATCTGCGAGGTGACCTGTGATGTGACAACCTTCGTGGAGACCTGAGTGGTGATCTATGAGGACTCCAGCGTCGCTGAGGACTTCGTTGGTCTCTCCCTGGAGAGTACTGTGAACGGTGCTCAGGACTCCTATAATGAGGACTTCTCCAGCCTGGGCTCTGATGACGCTGTCTTTCGGGGCTCCAGAGAGCACTTCTATGAGTAGGACTATGATGGCGAATTAGTCGTCCATCTGGGCTCCTGGAGTCAGGGCTGCAGCTTAGCCTATACTCCTGTCTCATCATATGACCCTGAGGACTTGAATACAACCTCTGATCCATTCGCATTCCTGGAGATGGTGATCTTTCAGGAGTTCTCTTGACTAGCCTCTCTCCACTGTGATCCCCATGGTACCCTCCTTCACGAAGAGGTGAAGCAAAATGTCGCCTGGGTGATCTCTCAAGCCCGTCCTTTCCAGTTCTTTCGGGGGTTCTTGGTCCATGAATGAAAGTTCTAACTTTATCTGGACTTCTGCTATGCCTTGAGTCAGGACTAGAAAAGTGTGGTCCTATTCTATCATCCCTAACAGGCACAGGGCTAGGACTCTGAAAACGTTTGGGTGAGCGCTTCTCCCTCCCTGGCCTTGTTCCAGATGAATGAATTGGAGACTTAGTTTCACGAAGACCTCGGTTTGATCTACGAGGGCCTGCAGGTTCCTTATTTTTCCCCCTTTCTGGACTGCCACGCTGTCTTTTGTATTCCGGTGACATTTTTCTTTTCCTTTCAGGAGATCTCCGACTTACTATCCTTCTTGGAGACCAACTACTGGACCTTGAGTCTCTGGATCTTCGAGGTGATCTACTTCTCTTTGGAGATTTACTCCTCAAGGGTGTCCTGCTCCTTCTTGGAGATGGACTTCTCTGGGGTGATTTACTCTTCACTAATGTTCTATTACTTTTTGGAGATTTACTTTTTTCATGAGACTGTCCTCTTGGAGATGGCCTGTCTCTTAATGGAGAACTGCTTTTATGGGGGGATCTTCTTCTTTGTGGAGATCTGCTTTTTTGTGAGGAGCGAATTTTTCGAGGGGATCGTGACCTAGATCTTCGAACTCTGCTTTTAGAAGAGGATGATGACATTTGTGGTGAATCATCCCCTTTAATTATCTTCCGATCCTCTGTGTGTTCATCAGTTGAAGACTCCCACATTTTTGAGACTGGCAAAGACAGCTTTCGAGGCTCACAGGACTCTGATACATTATCAGAGGCCTCTTCAACATTGTCACCCTCTTCTTCTGAAGGTTTTGCTTTTAAGCATTCCTCCTCCTCTTCTTCATGAAGAAATTCAGGCAACAGCCCCTTCTGTAGACGTTTTACAGTGCTCTGCTTAGAAGCACCCAATCTAAATGTAATTGGTACTGATCTGGAACTTTTTATTAAAGACTCTTCATATTTGGTATCCTGGACTTGATCTTCTTCGGTACTCTTCTCAATCCATCTTGTTATCACTTGGTTCGAAGTAACTGCTTCTTCTTTATCTTCACTAGGAGATTTTTCACTGTTAGTTTCTTCAGCTTTAAGAGAGTTAGCATCTTTATCTTCATCCAGAATAGGTACTGGAACTGCTGTTGGCGAGAGCACTACTACAGGAGGAAGAGGCTTTTCTTGAGAAGGTGGGGAATTTGACACAGGAGATTCTACTGAAAGTCCTGAAGGAGCTGAAAGAGAAGCATCTGAGCAAGGAGGAACAGCCTGGGATGCCACTGGCAAGGGAGCAGTCCTCGAGAGAACTGTTGGAGGAGGGACTGATGATGGTGGGACTGACAATTGAACTGAAGGAGGAGGAACAGACAGAGGAATAAAAGCTGGACGTGCTGAGGGTGGTGGGGCAGTAAATGGCAGTTTTGTAGGTGGAATGGAAGTCTGAGATGCATGCACTCCCATATTTACTGATGCAATTGGAACATTAGCAGAAGATGCAGTTTCTGTTCCTGGAGGTGGAACAGATAATGGAAAAGGTTTATTCTGCTCAGTCGAAGATGAAAATGTATATGATGAAGCAGTCTTTTTTGAAATTGAAAATCCACTAGGTGGTGGAACAGAAAGCAAAGAAATACTAGGAGTTCTGGAACTAGTACTGGGTGGTGGTACTGAAGGCAATGGTATACCAGCTGTAGGCATTGGGATTTTCTTTGGATGAGGCACACCTGCAGAATGAATTGTAGATGGGGCCCCAGGCAATGGGGGTATTGGGATGTTCTCAATAGAGGCAGGAAATGGAACTGGTGTAGGAGATGATGGTGGAGAGATAGACACAAAGGGTAAGCCACATCTAGTGGGTGACACAGGTGAGGATGATGATGGTGGACTGGGGGACATGGACATGTTTGAAGGACTGTATCGCTCACTCTCTCTCTGAACGACACTTTCATCTCTATCTTTAACAGATACAGAACCAGCTGGTGGATATGGAATATCATCTAATTTAAAGTTCATCACATCAGAAGTAGCTCTCTTGCTTTCATTATATTTAGTGCTATGTGATTCAGACAAAACTTTATCCACCTTTGGTTTATAGTCTCCTAATTCTTTTGAGTTACGCTCTGATTCCAGACTGGATGATGGACTGAGATCATAACAACCAGAGGTATCACTTATAGGACTCTGAATGTATTCTCCATCTTTAACAGAGTCTCTTGGGACTGTTGGACTATAATGTGGAGAGGATTCTCTTGATCTCCAAGAGTGACTGGTGTTTCCACTGGACTCCTCTTGGTCCCAACTAATTCTATCTTTCTCCCTTTTGCAATTAAATTTTCCTTTACTCTCTTCATCTGAAGATTCATAAGCTGGCTCTATATGTAACTCTGGTGATGAAACAGGAGATGGTGGCTCTTCATCGTCGTCATCATCATCTTTATCTTCCAATTCCCCATAATCTAATTCTTCTCTTGTGTCATCATCTGAGGTACCACTATTCTTATCTTCTGTTTCATCCTCTTCTGCTGTTAAGTCAATTTCAATTTCACTGCCAGATGTGCGTTTTGGAGGAGTGTATGAAGGGCTGTCATTATCATCATCGTGAACAGCAGGAGCAGGAGCAACAGCAATATCACCCTCATCCTCATCTTCATTATCATCCTCATCTTCATAATCTTTTTCAAAACCCCTTCTTTTCTGATCATGATCCTCCTCCTCCTCCTCCTCCTCTTCTTCACATTTTCCTTCACTGAATATTTCTCTCTCTTCATGAGCACTATCACTCTCATCATCAGAATCTTTTCTTTCAAAGCTACTGTCTTCAACATTCTCTTTTCTTTTACTCTCTTTTTCATGGAGCATATTTTTCCACTCTACATCTTTCTTTCCAAAACTCTTTTCTTTAAGTGCCTCTCTTCTTTCATGTCCTTTTTCACGGACTAGTTCCCTCCAGGCTTCAAAATCTTTCTTATCAAATTCTCTATCTCGAACAGGTTCCTTTCTTTCACCTTTCTCCCGTGATGAATCTCTCCATTCTTCCTCGTCTTTATCATAGTCTCTTTCTCGTGTGCTCTCCCTTCTTTCACTTCCTTTCTCACGGCCTGATTCTCTAAAGTTTTCATAGTCCTCTTTTCTATCGAAGCTTCTGCCTCTGAAAAAGTCTCGCCTTTCGGTTCCCTTTTCTCTCCACTCCTCGTGTTCAAATTTCCTGTCGTATCCCCTCTCTCGATAGCCATATCTCCAGTCACCTGGTCTTCCACGGAAACCCCCCCTCCTTCCATCAAAATAAAATTTCCTGTAGTTTGCTCTGCCTCTCCATCCCCGGCCTCGGTCTCGGAACGGTCCTCTCCTGTCAAAATCTCTCTCACGGTAGTTGCTGCTTCTCCTCTCTTCCTCGTACATTGCTTCAGTTTCATCCTCTTTGGACCGACCAAATGATGAGTCACTTTCCTCCTCAGACTTAACAGAATCGCTTTCTTCCTCACTCATCTTGGCTGCCTTTTTTCTTTCCTTCTCCTTTCGCTTCAGTTCTTTCTTGGCTTTCTTTTTTGCTTTCTTTTCGGCCTTCTTTTGTTTTCTCTTGGCTTTTTTCAGACGTTTTTTCCTCTTCTTTTCTAATTTTTCTTGTTTTTTCTTCTCTTCTTCATCTGACTTTGCTTCTTTTATATCTTCTTCATCAATTTTCTCAGTTTCTCTCTCAGAGAAAAAGCTCTCCTCTGAATTCTGACTTGCATTATCATCCTTTTCATCTGAATGAACATCAGATTCAGATTCTAATTCTAATTCCAGTTCATCTTCATTGAGAGATCTCTCCTTTTCTTCATTTGCTACATCAGACTCTTCTTCTTCCTCCTCTTGAACTTCATTTAAAGGAGATAATATATTGTCTTCTTCTTTGATCTCTTCATCTTCCTTCCCTGGCATTCCTCCATCAAGCATTTGCATGAATGCCTCATACTCTTCTGTTAAATCTTCAGAGAAAGGTTTTGCCGATTGCTCTTGTAACTTTTCACTCTTCACGGTGTTCACATCATTTTCAGAGAGAGAAATTTCCTCTTCAGCAACAATGGGTGGCTCTGATTTTATTTCAGGTTCGTCTTGCAGATCCACTTCTTGTTCGGCCACATCTTCAACCTTGACACTTTCAGGAACAGTGTGCTCAACTTCCTCATTATCTGAATCCCAACGTGACTTTGTAGCGGCAATAGCCACTTCCTGAACCTGTTTATCAATAACTGTATCAGGTAGAAGTTCTTCTGCATTCCATGATTTAGCAAACCAAGGCCTTGAGACTACAGTGCTAGTAAATTTATCAGTCACTGGTGGTATCTGTGGTTTGGAGGTCCAAAAGTTGTCCAAAAACTCCCATGTCTCTGAAGATTCTCTACATTTGAGTTCGTATCTTGAATAATAATGAGCCTTGTATCGGCTTGAATTGATACTGTATGAAATTGACGGCTTTGTGGTGGTGTAATGTATTAGCTGCGCTGGGTACTCTTTCTCCTTTCCGTTTAAAGCCAAGGCTTTAACTGGGTACATCATCCTACTTTCTTCATACATTGGCCACTTTTCCTGACCTCTCCCACCTCTACCCCTGTCACGACTGATACTGCGGCTACGCCGTCTGCGGTCCCTGTCACGGCTTCGGGATCTGCTGCGCCTTCTGAACTGTTCTCGACGAACCTGCCTCAGAAGCTCAAAATCAAAATTTTCAGCCTTAAATTCTTGCCAAGACTTGGGAACATGCTTGGGCCTCTTCTTAATTTCTTCCTTAATAACTCTTGCATCAACTTTATCTTCCTTTTCCTCAGATGGTAAATCACTTTTCTTATCTCTTTCTTTATCCTTATCTTTTTCTTTCTCTTTTGCTTTGATTCTTTCTTTCTCTTTTTCAATGGCCTTCTCTTTTTCTCTCTTTTTGTACTCATACTTGTCATTTATTATCTTTTCTTTCAATCTGAAGCGCTCAATTTGTCGTGCTTCATATTCTTCCAGTTTCTGCTTCACTGACTTCCCCATAATTTCAAACCTCTTTAACTCCTCTGGATTGTCAAGGAGTTTAGCAACAGGTGCCAACCCAGGCCCATATGGATTAAACAGCATATTTTTCAACCCAAGAGCTTCTTTAAGTCGTGACTCTTCATCCCGAATTTGCTCGATAATAGATACTTTCTCTTCTTTCTTTTTCTTCTTTATCTGTGCTCCCGGTTTCTTATCTTTTTTATCAGGTCCCTCTTCCTCCTCTCCTAAAGCAGACTTTGCAGAAGGCTTGGTAGTCTTTGCTAGAGAAAATGATGACATTTTTCCCCTTCCAGAAAAAGCCAAGAGTCTTTTTTTGGCCTCTTGTTTTCCCAAAAGCTTTGGTAAATTTGTCTTCACACCAGTCTTTGTAAGAGGTGTTGATGGATCAGCAGGAGGAGAGGGAGAAGCAGTTGATGTAGCTGCAGGGGTAGAAGGAGCAGTCACAGTAGTAGTAGTAGTCATAGTGGTACTAGCAGTGGTAGTACTAGTAGCAGTAATAGGAGAAGTATCAACTGGTAAAGAAATGGAAGGTGTAATGGCAGTGGAGGTAATAGTAGAAGCAGCAGAAGTATTAACAGTAGTACTAATATCACCAGCAGTAGTAGAAGAATGAGTAGTAATAGGTGCAACAGAAGCAGTACTAGTTAAAACAGGAGTAACTGGGGTGGGAATTGAAGCAGTACTAGCGACTGCAGCAAATGATGGTGGTGGATCTCTCTCATCATCATCAGCCGTTACACGGCTCGGTGAGTACCTGCAAGCAGGATTCAATTAATAGCAAAAGTAAATTAGTACACATTACAAAATAACATAATTAAAACAAACACTCCAGGTCCTATACCTCCCATTCTCTATGGACCTTAGTCACACCCACAAAACCCATCAACCCCACGTGATATCCAACACCCTAGAAACATGACAGACATGAATGTCAAAGTAATGTACATAACTGTATACACACATGACGAACTTACAGATAAAACTCGGGAAATAAAAGAGGGAATAGCACTGTATACAAACATAATGAGCTTACAGACAAAACTCAGGAAATAAAAGAAGGAACAGCACTGTGTACAAACATAATGAGCTTACAGATAAAACTCAGGAAATAAAAGAAGGAACAGCACTGTGTACAAACATAATGAGCTTACAGATAAAACTCAGGAAATAAAAGAAGGAACAGCACTGTGTACAAACATGATGAACTTACAGATAAAACTCAGGAAATAAAAGAAGGAACAGCACTGTGTACAAACATAATGAGCTTACAGATAAAACTCAGGAAATAAAAGAAGGAACAGCACTGTGTACAAACATGATGAACTTACAGATAAAACTCAAGAATTAAAAGAAGGAACAGCACTGTGTACAAACATAATGAGCTTACAGATAAAACTCAAGAATTAAAAGAAGGAACAGCACTGTGTACAAACATGATGAACTTACAGATAAAACTCAAGAATTAAAAGAAGGAATCCCAACCTTAATTACAATTATGGAATTCAAGTTAACCATATGATTGCTTGTGCTGTTTTCCCAAAGAAAAGAATGAAGGGAGGGAGTAGTAGTATTACTAATCAATACTGGATCAAAATTCAAATACACATCAAATACATGACAAATACATGCATCAATGATTTCTCAGATTACACAGAGAAAATGATTGCAGTAGATCCTCATTTATTACAATTCCTTATTAAGCGAAGTTGCAACAACTCCTAAAATGTACCATGAAATAAAATTTGTGTAAATAAAAATGTTTTTAAAGAATGATAAACAAAGACATATATACACAAATTATAAATTGTCTCCGAATATTTATGAATAAAAACACTTTACGAATAAAGTCACTTTACGAGTAAAAACACTTTATGAATAAAAACATTTGTGTATATGCTGAAAGTTAATGAAAACAAGCATTTAATATATTAAAGCTATTGTCTTGCATTTCTTATAACATTATATATATCAATATGTTTAATGTTTTTATATTTTTCTAAATATATTAAAGGAAACATCCATCTAATATGACTCTAGTGATGATCATATGACTATAGTGATGCTCATATGATTATAGTGATGCTCATATTTCTTGATAATGGTTCAGGATGGAACAAAATGCCTTCTAAAGATTTGCTGCCAATTTTACATTAGTTGAAAATTAAATGAATAAACTGATAAATGCAATGAGCAATATGTCAAATGTTTACCTCTCGGCAACAGCAGGAGGAAAGATATCCACAGGCATCCTGTTGAACATGGGTGGTAACGGCTGTGGTCCTGGCAGACGTGGAGGTGGAGTTGTAATATACGGCGACATACCTGGAGGTGGTATGCTGAATATGGGCGGTGGCACCGACATATCGGGTGGAGGACCAGGGGGTAAGAGGATGCGAGGTGGTCTGGCATGTGGAACTAGCATACTGCCTCTGTGTACTATAGGAGGTGGTGGTCCTCTGGGTGGTCTACACCCAAGTGGGAGGGGGATCTCATCCGGTAAGGGGATGTCCATGGTGGACAAACTTGCGTTGTACTGCTCACTCTAAATTTTCACTGGTGACCTAGAAAAATAAGAGCATTATTAAACAGATGCTCTGACTTTACAATTATTGTACTGTAATGCACAAATCTATAATACTGTGCTTATATACAAGTGGAAGTGGCAATTTTAAGCATAAAACAGGCCTAAACTTTCAATATAGTCCAGGTTTCCAGTGGTGTATGCAATTCCAGACTCCTGTTGGTAATTCCATGTGTGAAATATATGAATATTCTTTGTACCTGAACTGTGAGGTTTGCAAAATATAACAGAGATTCCTATTATAGAGAAATAAGTGTTGATGGCATGATTTAAGCTTCACAGAGCTACCACAACTTGGAACACATCTATAGAATGAATACAAAATGCCATTAATGGAATTTTGTATTCATAAAGAACAGTACATAAAATGAACGATAACTTTTGAAATCTATTCTTTCCCTAGGATGTAAGGACATGAACATACAGTACTGTACTGTGGCTCATAACTTATCTTTTAAATAATTATCAGTGTCATGCTTGAATGGCCAATCTGAAAGCAGCTAAATAAAAAATCAGACTGCACCACCTGGTTATCTACACTCATGATATTTTCCCCACCAGTGGTTTTTTTAATCCAATACAGAGATTATACTGAATACTGGAAACAGTGGAAGAAGTAGAGAGATCATTTTGAGGTGTTCAGTCCCTCAGCCTTGATGAAAGGTGTTCAGTCCCTTAACCCTAATGTAACTAAAGTAGATAAATGAGGATGGAGAAATACTGGAACCTGGAACCAGAGAAGAGGTGCAACAATTAAAGACATTGCTACAGGTGGGCCATACCACAACCTACTTTCAGTCATAGGTCCTGCCCACCTGTGACAATGTCTCCAATTGCTGTACCTCTCCTCTGGCTCCAACATGCAAGTCTCTAGCATTGTGCATTTGCTTTTCAGCAGGGAGTAGAGCAATTGTGACATGCTAAAAATGTCTTTCAGAAAAACTAAATGGTTTGAAATTTTTAAAAAGTACAATCAGCCTCATAGCATAAGGTTTGGTGGCGAGAGTCCATCAGTTGAACACGTTGCTGTCAAAAGTTCCCCTGCTGATTCTGCAATTATCCACTCAAAAGTATCATGGAATGAAGTACCCCAGTCAACTATAAATGCAGATTGGAGCTACTTATGGCCTTTTGTGGTAAATAATTTCTGATTTACCCTCAGTAAGGTGTCATGTCTAAGAAACTGTGTTTCTGGCAAGGACAGGTGTGACACGAGTACTTTGATAATATACATGAGCAAGATATAAATGAACTGTTAGAAGAGGATGATGAAAAACCAGATGCAGAAGAAATGCTGGTGGGGCTCATTGGCATCAAGGAACCTCTCTTGAGAGGATAATTTTGTTTTCTGGCACTTACTGCCTTGGTCTAGATTCAATTCCATTGTTGTACTACTCTCTCCAAACAGAAACCCTTCAGCATTCTTCCTGCATCAATTTTTTTTCTCATTTTAAAACTGGTCTCTCGTTCCTTTTAGTTGGTGCTAAAAAACCTTTCCAAATGATTTTTCTCCTTTTATAGTCTCATCATTCCACAAGGACATTTTTAGTATTTTCTTCTTTTCTTTGAAGCTTATTATTATTATAATCAAAAAGAAGCGCTAAGCCACAAGGACTATACATTATTATTATTATAATCAAAAAGAAGCGCTAAGCCAAGGACTATACAGCTCTTTGAAGCTTAGCGCATTTTTTTATGTAGCTCTGGCAGCTATTTTGTAGTTTATCTTTTTGTTTTTTCTATTTTATCTTAGAGATTTCTTAGGCACATATGCCACACCAATACTGAGTAACCCAGTTTTGACCTATGTAAGCTTTTTTTTTTTTTTTTTTAGCATTTCCTCTTTCACATCTTATGGTTAAATATAATGTTGCATATGTTCCTCATAACGGCATGTAACTTTTCTTCTTGTGACACTCTATTGCCTATGCTGACTCCTAGATCTCTCTCTCTCTCTCTCTCTCTGATACTTTTAAAATTTTGTCACATGATCTATTATACATTCTTCACATAGTCTCCCATTTTCTCACATTTCCATTACATAGTACCTATCTACCAATACATTAAATTACATAATTTATCACTCCATTTGCTCAATGTATTAAACTGTAATTGTGGAACTTGTAATTATTTTTATTACTTATTTTGCAAAGGATTGAATGCTGATGGTTCCTGTGATCATATATACCTCTGCAGCTTGGTCTAAGACCAGGCCTCCTGCTTAACAATTTGGTCAGTCAGGCTATTTGTGCTTGTGAAATACAATCCAAGATGGGTACCATAATTTGGCTAATGAAGAATGTTTTGAAAGATAGTCAGTTCTCTCTTGAGGTCTGGTGGTAATTCCCTTTTAATTAAAAGGTTAAACCATATAGATCATGCAGTGCAACATAGTAGAGGATGGGGTGGGAGGGAGAGGCTGAGGTCTGTGGGCAGAAGCGTGAAGGGTGGGCTCATGTACTCAAGAAGAAAGTCAAAGATGGTGTAATTAGTCAGTTTCAGTTAAGAAATCATTGTCTTTGTATTAAAGGAATCACAGTCTTTCTGTATTAAAGGCTCGGCTTTCTAAAAGAAGGGCAGCCAAGTGGTAATATCAAGGTGTTGAAGGTTGGAAAGGAGGGTTGAAAAGTCTTGGATCCTTTATTAAAATAACAGTACTTATTACATTCCCACTTTTCATGAGTACGTTATACATTCTGCTGCACATTTTGCCCTCATTTGGGATCATTTTAATGTCCCAATTTGAAGCTAATCTCTTCTGTTCTTTCAAGGGTAAACTATAATATATCTCACCTGCATTCCAGGGACTACAGTTGGAAAGACCTCATATTTCCAATAATTTTTAAGTTTGAAATGATACAGGAAGTCAACTTTCCCTCTACATTTTAAAATCTGCACTTTCACCTGCCTTCAATGGGGCTGTGTACAACAATACAATGTCTAGAGAATATGTACTAATACAGTA